CCCGTGTCCGTGTTCCCCGCCCCCCTGCTCCCCTCATGATGATTTGTTGAAAACCTAATAAAATGGGAGAGGGAGGCGTAAAACAAAGATGAGGTTTAGGCCCAAATACTGTATTTCACAAAACGTTTACATCCTGAGCAGTTGAGACACGCTGAGTTCTTAGGGGGCCTGGCTTTCTTGCTGAAGAAGGGGGCTTGCTGCCAGCTTTGTAATTTAGGGAAGGGGACTAGGCCTTACCCCTACTGTCCCTAGGGATAGGCTCCCAGGGGTGTGTGGAAGCTCAGGTTCTGACACTGCTATGGGCATGGGATACAGCAGGGGGCACGCTTATACTTGTCCCCTCCCCACTGGCTTCACTTGGGCCTGCTTTTCTTGCCAACGGCTTCTCGCCCTGATGTGTGGGGCCGTGGGGCCTGGGGCAAGTCATTTTCTTTATCTGTAAGCTGGGAATCAAATAGCAGCTGCTCAGCGCCACTTTGAGGTCTGGTGACCTGAGGACTAGAAGAAGGGGCTCTGGGAGCAGATCCTTCAGCTTGCTGTTTCCTGGCAGGGGGATCCCCGCGGCTGCTGCAGGAGCCTGAGATCCTGTCGGGGCCTCAGAACCTGACGCTCACGGTGCACCAAACGGCAGTGCTGGAGTGCATCGCCACCGGCCACCCGCGGCCGCTTGTCTCCTGGAGCCGCCTGGGTACGCAGCCGCTCGCCCTGCCTCGCAGAGCCCCAGCCCCTTGCCCTTGGCCAGCCATGACCCCTCGCCTCCCCGCAGACGGCCGCTCCATCGGCGTGGAGGGCATCCAGGTCCTGGGCACTGGGAACCTCATGATCTCCGACGTGTCGGTCCAGCACTCGGGCATCTACGTCTGTGCTGCCAACCGGCCGGGCACCCGTGTCCGGCGCACGGCGCAGGGCGTTTTGCTTGTGCAAGGTGAGCCCCGAGGGTCAGATGGGGGGGGGTCCTGCACCCCATCCCCCCATGGAATCCATGGGGTGGGAGAGGGGCAGGGGCCGGAGGGGGACATGAGGCCAGGCCTCATCGTGGCTTCCATGCACCCCCCCACCATGGCCTGCCTAGCTCCCCCGGAGTTTGTCCAGTGGCCACAATCCTTGTCCAAGGCGCCTGGCAGCAGCGCCATCTTCACGTGCGTGGCCCAGGGTGTCCCTGAGCCCCGTCTGGTCTGGCTGAAGAATGGGAAGGTGCTGAGTCCTGGGGAGAACATTCGGCTGACCCACAACAACAGGTACAGGTGTCCCGTCTGTCCCCTGCCTGCCCCCGCCTCCACCTACACAAGATCCTCTCCATCTAAGTCCACTCTGTCAAATCCACATAGCCCCCAGCAAGTGCCCCCACCCACAGAGCCTCTGCGCCACCTGCTGCACACAGGTGGCGTCCTGTCCCTGGGCAGGTCTGTGGGTCTCTGCGATGGCGGCCGCCCCACCGGGCAGGGGGCCTGGTGGGAAGGAGCCCCCAGCAGCTGTACTGTCTTCCCCTAGCACCCTGATGCTGGTGAGGGTCTCAGCTGAGGATGAGGCCATCTACCAATGTGTGGCAGAGAACTCCGCTGGCTCCAACCAGGCCAGTGCCCGCCTGGCTGTGACAGGGGACCCAGAGCCACCCCCTGCCCCCAGGGGCCTGCAGGCCACGGCTCTCTCCAGCTCTGCCATTCGAGTGTCCTGGGAGCCGCCCCCCTCCGACAGGGACATCATAGGCTATGCGCTGCACCTCCGACCTGTGGGAGGTGGGTGTGGGTGGGTGGGCAGGTGTCCCTGGTCCCAGCCCTCCCCCGCCCTGACTGGTATGTCCCTGGGCAAGTGCCTCCCTCTGCGGGACCCCAGGCCCGTGTGGACTCTTTTCACGGGCCTCTGGTGTTTCCTTGTGTTTCTCAGCCCTTTCTCATCCCAGCTCCAACTTGGCAGCTCTTCTCTGCTCTCCAGCTGGGCACCAGGAGGGGCTTCAGGACCACGGAACAGGGTGGGGGGTGGATATAACGAGGGAGAGGGACGCTCAGTTGCTAAGCTGCTCTGCTCCTAGAGCCGGCCGGCCCAGGGCTCCAAGCGGCTGTGGGCAGAGGCACCTTTGAGCACGTCTTCTCCAACCTGGAGCCGGCCACAGCCTACTCCATCCGGCTGCGGGCCTACTCGGCGGAGGGTGCCAGCCAGGACTCAGCGTCCATCCACGCCTCCACCATGGGCAGCAGTGAGTCACAGCCCCTCCAACTCTGCAGAGCCCCTGGCTCCGGGCAGATGGGCTGCCAACCGGCTCGTCCCGTTTCCTCCACAGCCCCTGCCGCCCTGGGCTTCTCTGCCACAGTGCTCAACGCCACCTCCGTGCAGGCCTCCTGGCAGCTGCCAGCCCAGCCGGGGCCCATCCAGGGCTTCAAACTGTTCCACCGCAAGCTGCCGGCTGCCCATTTTGAGGGGCCCCTGCTCCTGGCCAGCAGTGTCAGCTCCTTCCTCTACACGGATCTGGGTGAGGCTCTGAACCGACGTCGTGCGCTCTCGCCCCAGGAAGCCCTGTTCTTTTCCCAGAAAGCCCTGTTCCCTTCACACTCTCCTGCCCCCGCAGAGCCGGCCGCCCTCTATGAGATCAAGCTGCAGGCATTCAATGGCAATGGTGATGGTGACAGCAGTGCTCGTTTTGTCTCTCTGCGTGATGTGCCCTTGGCCACCGCTGGTGAGTGGGGTCCAGTAGGAGGGTCGCAGGCCTGGGTTGGAGGAGGCACCTCCCGTAAGACCCGTCCGTGGCTGTTAGCCTTCAGGGAGGAGGACAGGCTGGGCTTTGCCCCCATCCGGGTCCTCTGACAGATGGCACTGTGTCCACAGAGGCCAAAGCCGAGTGCTCCTGCAGCCGGGATGAGAGCAGCCCACTGCCCGGGGTTGTGGTGGGCGTGCACGTGGGCCTCGCTGCGGCTATCGTCTGCCTCCTCTGCCTCCTCCTGGGCTGGAGACACAGGTAAGGGCCAGGATGGCTACTGCGGTAAGTGCTAGGACAGCCTGCATGACGGGCTTAGGGCCAGAAAGCAAGACAACGCCCTTATCCATCACGAGTCCACTTCACAGATGAGGAGTCTGAGGCCGAGGGCGCGGCGGGGGCGGGAGGGGGGGGCAGTTTTCTCAGAGCTGTGGTACCAGGACCCCGGAGGCCTGGCGGGTAGAGCACTGGGGCTCCCAAGGCGGAGGACAGAAGCGGGCCCGGCCTCTCCATCCCTGGGAGCATGGAGCAGGCTGGCGGGCTGGAGGCCCCAGGCAGGTCACGGCGCTGACCCTTCCTGTCTGGGCAGCCTCCTCTGCAGATGGGGGTCCCAGCAGTGCTGGGCAGTGCCTCAGGCTGCCTCGGACAGAACTGGGGGCCGTCGAGGCCAGGCTGTGACCGGAGGGAAGCCAGGGGAGAAGATTGAACTCATCACCCAGGTGAGAGGGATTCACGTGAAGGGAATGGGTGGAAAGGGGTGTGCCTGAGGCCCTGGGGCCCAGGCCTGACCGCCTCCGCCCTCCCCAGGTGACCGTGGAACAGCCGCCCTCGGCCTAGGGCCCTCCAGGCTGGCACTCCCAGATGCCACTACCTCTGACCCACCAAAGAACCTACCTCACCTGTCCCTGCCTCCCCGGAGGCAGGAAAGAACCAAAGGTCCCTTAGCCCCTCTCCGGGGAGGGGCAGGCCTGCCCACAGGGAGGGAGAAGGGTGAGGTTTCTCTGTTCTTCCCTCAAGAAATGGGGGAGTCTGGGTCCTCCCCAACACACCAAATTACCTCAAACGAAGCCAACTCAGCAGGGAATCACCCCCAGTCCCGTGACTCCTGCCTCAACCCCATCCAGTATATCCTCTTGATCCAAATACGAACCTACCCAAAGGTATACATATAGCTTTACGGGTTCCCCCCAAAGGGGGAGGCAGGGCAAAGGGCTCTGTCACCACCGCCATCTCAGCCGGACCCCTCATCTGAAATCCGTTTCTCTCTCCCCATGCCCAAGCTGAGGTCTGGCCCAGGAACGGGCACTCCTTGTGGGCAGGTGGGCAGAGGGGCGCTGAGCTCCTTGTCTCCTTGTCCCGATACAAGAGCCCTGGACATCTGAGCTCACAAAGCTGCTTCTCTGAGCAACCAAATACCCATCTCCCCCCTTTCCTGATCCAAAGCATGGGCCCCTGGTCAGGGGCACCCCTCCCTGCTTGATTTATTTTTGAAAGGAAATATTAGTCTGAGTTGGGGTTTTGGTGCCTCGAATCCCTTGTAGAGCGAGCACAGAGGCTGTAGAGCACCCCAGCCATCTGTTGCCCTGAATTCTAGGTGTCCAAAGAACGCCTCTGCCCCGTCCTCCCTCTGCCAGCCACGGCACTCAGGGCCCGCTGTCCCTCCTCGCCCAGCCCTACCGTCCCCTACAGCCAGAGCCCCAGCCCTCTCTCAGGCAGCCTCTCCCTCCAGGGCTGCCCAGTATTGTGCCAAAAAGGGGGGGTCTCGGAGGAAGGGAAACCCAGGGCTTCGGGGACCCCAAACATTCTCCCCCGTGCTCTTGTGGGTGAGCAAGGCTGGGCCCTGCCCCCCTAGGGGCAGCAGCAGCTTTAAGGTATGTGGCAGGGCGCCAAGGGGCTAAGAGCAGCCCAAACGTCCAGGCCCCGGGGAAAGGACAGCCTCGCCTCTGTGGGCCTGGGCTTTGTTGGAAATAAAAAACCAAAATGGAAAAGGAAATGGGCTCCGGTTAATGTTCTGGGTTGACAGGAAAGCTGGGGGGAGTGGGGTGATGAGGCGGTAGGACTGCAGCTCCAGGTCTCCCGGGGGTGGTGCAGAGGGCAGGGCTGTCACCTGCAGTTTGCTAAGAAAAGGGCGGTGGGTGTGATGGGATGGTGAGGTCAGCAGGGGACACCGCTCCCTAGGACACCTCTGCGTTGCATGCCACCTTTCTGATACCTGTAGACCTTCTGTCATCAGGCAGCTAGAGCGGGGTTAGCGGCTCCCAGAACACTGCTCCATGTGAGGGTGGAGGGGAGCGAGAGTAGCAGGTGAGGGCTTTACATCTTCATCACAACTGAAGAAAAGGCACCCCACAGCTCACCTCCCAACTACCCCTAAAATCCTCCCACCAACCGCACCCCCACCACACCACACTAAAGCACACGCCACAGGGGAGTTTAGAAACCATTCCTTTCTTTATTAAACATAGCTTGCAAGTGATAAATATTACAAAGTTTTTTTCTTTTAATCCTTTCTCCAAAAATTAGCTTATTATTTGAATTGGTTAATGCTGACACGCACAGCAGCATCTGAAACAGATGGGAGTGTATCCGCCTTTTTGAAAACCAGTTTCTATTGGTCTTAGTTTTTTCATTTTAATTCCCAAACACAATGCAGAAAATTAGAATGAGTTAAAAAAAAAAAAGGAAACTTAAAAGAGAGTTGTGCAAAAGGGTCTTGTCCCCTCCCACCCANCTTAATTCCATCTGCAACCTTGATCCCCACGCCCCCCTCCCCCACACACACCCTCACCCCCGGCCAGGTAACCTAACATGGTCATAGGTTCCAGGGCTGAGAATGTGGATCACCTTCAGGGGTCATGATACTGCGTGCCACAGATGGGGAGGCAGATGGAGACAGAGAAAGGTGGAAGCGGAAAAAAAGAGAATGGAGAGAGATCTATTGTAGTTCCCAGGAGAGATGTGGAGAGCAAGGGTGGGGGGAGACAAAATCCCAGGTGTGCTTGGGGCATGCTGGGAGGATTTCATCCACCTGGGGGACCTTCCAGAAAAGCCTGGGCGGCTCAGGGTCAGGCCGCTGGTAATTGTTGGGGAGGGAAAAAAATAGAGGCAGCTCTCAGCAAATCGTTCCTGCCAGCATTTCCTGAGCATCAAGGCTATTGGGGACTCTACCCCTGGGACGCACTTCCCAGCCTGGGGCTCAGGGCCGCACGCAAATGTTCATGAAACCAGCTAGCTAGCTCCTTGGTGGCGGATGGAGGAGGCTTTCATCAAATTCTCAAAGGGACCTGGGACTAATAAAAAGTTAACTCCTGGGGTGACCGGTTAGCTCAGCTGGTTAGAGCGTGGTGCTAATAACACCAAGGCTGCCGGTTCGATCCCCGCATGGGCCCCTGTGGGCTGTGCCTTCCTTAAAAGAGTCAACTATGCCATTGTAGCATGAAAACAACGTGTAACCAATGACCATGGCTGTTCCCCCATAAAATTAAAATAAATAACTTAATTAATTAATTAATTAAAATAAAAAGCAGTGCTTAGAAGGTAAAATGCTGCAGCCACTTTGGAAAACCGCTTGGAGGTTCTGAAAAATGCAAAGTTACCACCTGACCCGGCAACTCCACTCCTGGGTGCATGCTCGAGGGGACAGAAAATGTTTGTGTACCCAAAAACCTATACATGAGTGTTCACAGCATCCTGTTCATCAGAGTAAGAGGTGGCGGCTACAACCTGTGTCTGCTGTCTGGCAAATGGATAAACAAATCGTGGTCTATCCACACGACAGAATAGTGTCCGGCCATAAAAAGGAGTGAAGTGCGGACACAGCTGGGACACATTATGCTCAGTGACAGGAGACACGAAAAAACCCAGGAAGCGAGATTCCACCCATGCAACATGGCCGGAACCGGCAAAGACGGAAAACAGCAGTGGTTACCTGGCCGGGGGGGTGGGGGAGAATGTTAGTGGGCACAGGTTTCTTTGTGGGGATGAAATGTTCTAAGATAGATTATGGGGACGGTGGTGCCGCTCTGTAAACGTACCAAAGCCACTGAATTGTGCAGCTTAAACAGGTGAACTTATGGTATATAAATGACATGTCGGCCAAACCNGAGCTCTCCTACTGTGTCACCTAGGTGACAGGGGAAGTCCCACATCGTGTAGTTCATCAAGGGTGGACACGTCACTAGTCCTCCAACCTGGGGCATTCGCTGGTCATCACCTCTAAGGGTCCTGTGGCTGCTGGTGAGGGGGGTTTGGGGGCTGAGGCCTGGTCCCTGCCCTCAGATGACTGCCTAGGGACCTAAGGGCAAAGATGTCACAGGTCTGACTGCAGTCCTAGCCATCACTCTGCTGCCCTCCCCAAACCAGGGAGCGGCAGGGGCCTGGCGGCTCTCCCTCTCCCTCTCCGAGGGCACTCCGATCACCACTTCAGCACTAGTCACCTGGTTTCCTCCCTGGTTTTTCAGCCCAACCCTTTTCTCACCTCAAGCTGTTCAATTCTGCAGGTTGGGGAAGGAAGCAGAGAGTTCACTCGGTGGCCAGGTGATTCCCACCTTCACTTCACAAATAAGCAAACAGACCCAGCCAGTTAGCGGGCAAGTTTGGGACTAGACCCTCGGTCTCCAGACTGTGGCACCGCCCGCTCTCCCACCCTCCACCCCGGGTAGTGGTTCTCTCTACTCTCCACAGTCTGGACTAGGAACCTTAGCTTTCACACTAGCCCAGCCTCACCCCAACTTATGAAGCCTGAAACTGTGCAGATGGCTGCGGCTCTCCTTAGGGGAGGCTTTCTGAGGATGGCTTGTTCAAGTCCTTTCTTTCTATCATCCCCTGACAATCCACCCTCATCGGCCCACGGAACTAGGTTCTTCTCTGGGAGGTGAGGGGCAGGGCGGGGGAAATCCCTTGCATAAGAAAGCTTGACACTGAATTTCGTTATATAGGTATATTGTATATATGCTGATGCAATCAGAGGAAAAAAACAGTGCAAATACAATTACAATTCATAATAATACTTGGTTTCAATGCCCCCGGGAACTGCCCCATTCCTCGGCTACCTCCCAACCCCCAGCACTTCCCCACAGTATCAACCTAATGCTGGGGGGCAGGGAGGGGGGGCAGGTTAGGGGAGGGAGTGGGCTCTGCCAAGGCAGTGCTGGTGACCCGGAGGGACTCTCCGGGGTGGGGAGGCAAGGCACAAATGAGGGGTGGGTGGTGGGGGAGGTGGCATCTCTAAGGAGGATGGGGTTGGAGCAGCTGCCAGTCTCAGTGTGCTGGGCCCGGCCTCTCCCCACCCACCCTCCACAGCCCTGCCTCCCTACCCCCTCCCCTCCCCAGAAACCCTTTTGCACGGATCATACACAAACGGGCACATTACAAAATGACATAACACAGTTTCACAATATCCATGGCTAGGGCTTTTTTTTCTCTTTTTCAGGTTTTTTTTTTTCTACACAATGTACAATTCCTTTTAAATGGATCAAGAAATAGCTTATATACACGAATGAGTCCTTGTTATAACATCTCGGCAGCAAATATCATAAGCTAATGAAGGTCTTGTTGGAAGGGAAGGGAGCCTAGGACGGGGTGGGGTGGGGCGGGGGTGGAGAGAAGGGTTATGCCTTCTGGAGGGGTGGGGAGAAAAGGGAGCGGCTGGGAAGAGGAACAAAAGTAAAATATCAAGAAGCATCTTTACAAAGCAGTTCTATAGCTAACTCCTTTTAAAGGGGAAAGGAAAGGTAACCAAAGCAGGAAAACATTTATCTGTGTCTTAAAAAAAAATTGTCTACCATACATACATCCAAAAATGTAGAAAAAATACTTATTCCATGGATGGAGGAAGTCCAGATGCTGTGGTCAAATGACAAAAAAAAAAAAAAAAAAGACAAATAAGGACCTCTGTCCCTCAGCTTTACCCAAGCCTCCCCATGCATCCGCCCGAGTCAGGCCTCTCGGGAGGAAGCCACTGTCCACAAGCTGCTACTTTGAGAACCTCTGGGGATGGAGGAAGCCAGGCAAATAGTGGGGTCCTCGCTGTATCCCTGAGCTTCGGAGCTCTAGGGGTAAAGGGTGCCTCTGAACACGAGGTTTAGTGTCTGGGGGGCCCGAGGCCTGGGGATGGGCAGCAACAAGAGACTTGGGGCAACACAAGGCAATCAGTGATGAAAAAGGAGAGAAAGGAGGAAGACAGAAGGACAAGGGAGAGGGAGGGAAGGAGGGGGGTGGAAGGCGAATACTTTACCATGATTATGGAAACCTCCCCCCCATCACTGATCCCTGGGAAGGATATGAAAACAGGGAAAAGAGGGTAAGAAATCAAACCTTAGCGATGGAGCAAAGGGTTGCAGAGCTAAACTAGTCACCGAGCAGCCTGTCACCAACCTGTCACCGACCCTGAGGGGAGTAACACAGGGAAGGTCCCACCTGCGCTCTGGGGCCTCAGCACCTTGGCAGGCACTCAGCGGCAGGCTTTCCTTCCCATCACCCCGTTCTCACACTCTTACCTCCAAACCCCACTCAAAGGTGGCCTGGCTCCCAGGGAAGGGGTCAGCTCCAGGCAGGGACGGCCCCCAGCCAGACGGTATTGCACATTCTCTGTTCCTTACTTTTAATCTCAACTGACAAACTTGGGGACCTCGTACCTCTGAGCACCTCTGAGCTGGGGGAGGGGAGACATAACAGAAATGGCACTTCATCATGGGGTGGGGGGGGTGGGGGGAGAGGCTAGACAGACATGCCACAAGGCAAGATGACTTGTAGGGAAAATATTTTTTAAGAAAAGCTTCCAATTTCATGGAAGAGAGAAAAGCAAAACCAAACGATTTATCCAGTGCTTTCAAAGCACAGAGGGCAAAGAAAAGATGTAAGAATATATCTTTATATATATATATATAATTTTAAAATAACCCCACACCCAGTTCCATTAACCCCCCTCCCTCTCCCACCACTTACAGTCAGGGCACCACATTCCCCAGAAAAATACTCGAAACGACCCATCACTACCTGTTACTAGTATCTAGCTTCCAGATCATTTCGTCACTGGGGGAGCCAGACGCAGGCTGCATCTCTGCTCCTTTATTAAGTGCTCAACGAATTGGGGGCGGGAGGAAAGAAAAAAGCCAGGACGGCCCGTAGGGCCAGTAGAATCACCCACAGTGGCTCTGGGTATCGGGAGCAGAAGCCAGAGTGGGGAGAACTGAGCCTGATTCCAGCTCCTTCTCCCATCCCATCCCCAAACTTGATGGGGAAGATGTGCAGTTTGTGTGTGTGTGTTCATTTTAAAAGTGCCTTCTTACTTTAAAAAAATTATTTCATTTTAAAAAATAAAAGACGGGGAACTTCCCCAGGTGGCTTTCAAGGGCCAAATGTTCAACTCCTCTGTACACCTCTCTGCTGAGACCACCCCTTCCTTGCACTCTGGTAGCTTCTCGAGCTGCAGAGACAGGTGTGTGTATGCTGCGAGGAGAGCAGAAAGCCCTACCTTTCGGGGGCCCCCGTACCTCAGAAACAGCCTGGCCCCTTCCCCCCACGGTGTGGGCAAACGGGAGGCTGATGTCCCCCAATTCCCAGAACAGCAACATTGCACAATTCAATTCATTCTCTACATTAGTAGCGCTTAAGAAAAAATTAAAACAAACAAAAAAGCAAAATTACTAGAATTCAGGGTGGGGGGGAGACAGCCGCCTTCCTGGCAGAGGCAGTCATGCAGCCAAGTCGGGGCGGGCCCTCCTCACATTCAGAGTGAAGAGAGACAGATGTGAGTCTCAGCTGTCGGGACAGAACGCCCTCTGCTGCCTCTGAATCGATTTCCTGCCTCTGTCGTCTCACTCACTCACTCACTCATGCCCGTTCCAGCTTCTAGGACGCCCAACAAACACGGGCTGGGAACAGCGCCCTCTATGGTACAGATGGGGCTGCCATCACCAGGGGCAGCTTAGGATGAAAAAACAAAAAAGTGGGGTGGGGGAAATTTTTAGAAGAAAATAAGATGAAAGAATTCTTTTGGGCTAGTTGGCCTGGAATAGACGTTCGTCTGTCCCCTGGGGTCAGGACCAGTCTTCCTCCCCCAGCGTCCAGAAGGCCAGGGCCTGCTCAGTCGCCCTGGCTCAGCGTTCCACTCATCACTGTCATGATAAGCTCCTGCCTCCCCCTTCTCTCCGGGTCAATTCCAGGGTGGTTGTCTTAAAGCTTCTCCCCCCAGGCTCTCCCCCCTCATTCTTAGAGCCCAAGTTCAATACCAAACACTGCCTCCTGCACTGTCCAGCCCAGAGACCCCACAGTGCCTGTGCTGTTGTTCCTCCTTGCTTGATGCTACCACCTCCCCCCACCCCCGCCCCCAGGTTAAGTGCATAAGAACTCCCGCCCTGACCCTCCTAGTCATGCCCCATGTGGCAGCTAGGGACCCTACTGCAATGCTATCATTTAACTGAATGTCATTTGTGTTTACCAAAAAAAAAAAAAAAAAGATGAAAGAAAAGAGAAAAAGAAAAATATTGGAAGAGATTAAAAAGGTTTAACCGTCCACTGAACAAAGGGAGGACACACACATCATTAGAAACGATAATAATAATTACAGCGTAAAAACAAACTTTAGAGACAGACGTCAGAGGGCTTAGATGTCTCCCCAGGACCTCATCTATCAGAGGTGAAGCTCCACCTCACTGTTAGAGAAACCGAAGCGAAGAGTGCAGACAGACAGACAGATGGCAGGCGGAGTGAAATAGAGAGGGGGGCGGGCGGGGCGTGTGTTTTCTTGTTGATTTCTATTTTTTGTCTTCTGTTTTTCTGTTTTGTTTTCCGTGTATGGTAGGCACCAGTACAGGCACTGCATGCGACGGAAGTTGGGGCAATAGGAGGGGGGTGGGGTAAAATATTCAAGGTTGGGGCAGTACAAGTGGAACAGGCGTTATTTCTGCCCACTGATGGACTGCGATATAGACCGAGGAGGGATCATGTCTAAAAGGTATTCCCGCTGTCGGTCTGCCAGACTGGGGGCCTTGTGTCCTCCGATGCCAGTGTTCAAGTATGCAATGTTCACACCTAGACCCAGGAGACAAAAGTGGAGGGCAGGTATTAAGAGAGGAAGTGCCGCCTTCTTCTGCGCTCCCCTGGGGCTGCAGGGCTGGAGATGGTGAGAAGACATGAGGAGCTGCTTACTTCTGTCTACACTCAGTTAAGCTTTATTTCAGCAGTAACCCTCGGCTCTCAAGCTTTAGGGAAAGCAGCCTTCCTGAAACTTCGATCCTATCAGGAATAATGAACATGGTGTCCTGATAGTACAGGAGAGTCGGAGAAAACCATGGTGAGAGAAATAATCACGAGAAGAGATGAAGTCACTGTGTCTGCTTTGGCTGTGCGGCTGCTGACTGGATCACCGTCAGGACAGGCAGTCCCGCTGGGCTGGCCCAAAGTGATCAATAACCAATGCCCACCAAGGGGGCATATTAGACATTGGATTTCTAACAGCAGGGACTGTATCGTTTTCACCAGCAAAACCCTAGTGCACTGTGCCTGGCACGTAACATGAACTTAGCGAACATTTGCTAATAACAAAAGAGTGAAGGGAGTAGGACCTAAAGAACGAGCATAAAACAAAAGAACAGTTCACCTGAAGGGGCTGCTCAAGAATCGTGTGCTAACTAGTGACCCGAGACAAGTTCTCAGTTCAACCCTTCTTACCTGGCATGCCGAGGAGGCCACCTGGCACAGACAGCTGGGGGGCCTGTGCAAAGTTGGAAAGCATGGAACGGGCAGATGTGGGTATGCCACGCTGGAGGCTGCTCTGGGGCTGTGGAGCCTGCAATGAGGAGGAGAGAGTGCATCAGACTCTGTCGTGTGGAAGCTTTAGGGGAAGTAGGGGTGTGGGAGTACAGAAGGGTGGGGTGACTTCCCGCAGGAGAAAAACCAAGTTGGGATAAATGGCTAACAAACCCTCGGAAGCAACACTCACCTGTCGAAGCGTGTGATGTCTCATTATGGTCTCCTGTTTACTGACACTGGACACAGCCGGAGCCGTAGTGGGGGAGAGGGCTGCCTGCTGCTGTAATCGCTGCTCAATTTCCTGTTGGGAGTCATCAGGTCAGCTTGGGCAGGACAGCACCCAATTTCCTACCCAGAAAACCTGGAGGTCTTATTTCTAATGCTGCCAGCTAGTTGGAGGGATATGGAAAAGGCAAAAGAGTTTGGTGGGGTAGGTGCTTTGAGAGCTCTGGTACAGCAGCCAACATGCTTCACTGATTAAGGGGTCCCTCTCTCCAGGGAAGTGGGCTCTCAGATGCTGGCTGGAGAGATCTGGGGAGTGGCGATGAGCTGAGCCAATGTCATTCAGGCTGAGGCGTTACTGAGGTTTCATTTTCGATTGCTGTCTCCCCCCTTTCCAGAAGGTCCATGATACTACCCAAAAGGGTCTGATGGATGGTGGAGTGGAAAATGGGCTAGAGGAGAAGGACCTGGACTTGCCAACCCACTGTCCTCTCTGCAAGACAGTGTCACTGTATTAATACTACAGGAGTTCACACACTCTAGCACCACTCATCTACCCTTTCCTTTGTCATGCCTTTGTTATATGCGGACTGGAGATAATTACTTCTCTCAAAGAGATTTCTAATGCAGATACAAATCCCTCCACCCAAACCCATTTGTTTGAGGAGGAAATGAAGTCTAGAACAGAGGGGTTTCTGCAGTGCTCTTAGGGAAAGCCAAGCATCTCAAGCCTTCTGTCCCCTTCCCGTAACTTTAGCCATTGTGTGTCACTCACTGTGCTCTCACCCAATCAGAAATAACGAAACAGGAATAGCAAAGACATAATGGTAGGGAGGAAAAACCGGGAACCCAGGCCTCCAGGTTCGGAGAACCTAGATGCAGAAGCCTAGATCCCCAGGCCTGTGGGATCACACAGACCAAGTCCTGTAAACTCAGGTAAGTACCTTTAGGGAAAACCCGAGCTGGGCAGGCGACTGGGGGCAGGTCAGAGCTCACCTGTTCCTGCTGTAGGGCTTTAACGAAGGCGTTTTTCAGCCGATTGGTGTGCTCGGCCTTGAGCGCCTTCTTCTGGTTGGAGGTCATACACTGCTCACACAGAATCTTCCCATTCTTCTCTTGCTTCCAGTGAGGGGTGAAATCGGTGCGGCACTGGGCACAAACGAAGGGCTCGACCCGCAGAAGGGAGGCACAGCTTTTGCCTAGATGCCAACAAAAAGAATCGTCGGTGGTTTCACATTTCCTCTCTCTCTCTCTCGTTTCTCTTCATCAAATGGATGTTTTTCCTGGAGTTTCTTCTGTTGTATTAAGAAAGAGGCTACAAAAATCCCTCTATAGCTTACAAAAGACTTTTATTTCCTTTGATTGTAACATTACTTTAGTGAATTCTGAGAGTACCATCCCCACTTACAAATGACAAAACTAAGTCTAAGAAACACAGCTCTTGACAGACAAAGCTGGGACAAGCAGCCAAGCTTTCTGAGTTCCTACTATGTTATAAGGAGAAGAGAATGTGTCACTTCAGAGTGGAAGGGCTCCACCCAACGCAGTCAAGGCTTTTGCTTCTTGGCAGCTCCACCTCAGACTGCACTTATCCTTGTCACATATGTTTATAATTTTAGTTATCGGTGTCTAAATTATTCACTTTGTGATCTGTTTCTAGTCTATATCAAACCCTTTAGGCACTTTACTGTCAGGTGTCCCCCCTAAGACCGTATGTTTGGAAATTCAGGCATAGTAACTTGTTAGTTTAGACTGTAAGCTGCTAATACTTCATTGTCTGGCTCGGTGTTGGTTTACAAGCTTTTATGTGGTCATAATGTCTATTTTCTCACCTATAAGCACTCAAACAGCAGGAAATGAATATAATAATGCAGCACAATGCTTCATAAACACTGACATTAAAAATAAATGTTCTGGTCATCAAATTTTGCATGCATCATGCTAGGCACCATTTTTTTTATATATAATTTCAGGTGTACAAAACAATGTAATAGCCATAGGCACCATTTTCAAAAAAACTAAATATCCTGCAAAAAAATACACAAGATAAACAAAATTCACAATACAAATATTAAGCCTAATACACAGACACACAGAGCTCTCCTGATATGCTGCTCCCAAATGGCCTCCGAGTAAGAAGTGGAGGCAGGGGAGCCGCCTAAGGAGAGGTTCTTTACTACGACCCCGTGCCCTGCGCTGCTCTGCTCACGTCAATGAGGCCTGGCAAGCTCTTGCTAAGCTACGAAGACGGACCAGGAGACACGGTCCTACCTTGGCTGTCGATGACGCTCTGCACGACCTCTTCCAAGCCTACCATGTAGATGAACTCGCTATTGGCTGCACTAGGTAGGAAGTGCAGCAAAGGAGCGGGAGGTTTGGGGGGTGGGATCTCCAGGAGTGTCTTTTCCAGCTGTTTGCGAAGAGCAAGTTTGGCCGCAGCCTGGGAGTTGGCTGCGTCGGTCATGGCGCCGGGGCTAGGAAGTGGTGAGGACACTCTGTTCACGGTCCCTGGCTGGATGTGGGAGGCAAGGTTCATATAGATGGCAGAGGACGTTGTGCGCTGGCAGGGAACAGAAGAACTTGACTGCTGGAACAGAGTGAGTGTGGAGTCAGTGGCGGTGAGTGTGGAAGGACCGATTTCTGCCTTTGTAGCAGAGAACCCTGTCTGCTCCTAGTCTCGGCTGCTTAGTTTCCCTCAAACCCAGAAAAGGCCAGGAGGTGTCCACCTTCTTCCCTGTGAAAGAACTCAGCACGTAGGAAAGGAGAATGCTAACGGCTCGGAGCTGAAAACTGCTGAGGGAAAAATAAAAATTGGGACTGCTTGCTGTCACACATCCGTATGCTTATTCCCTAGACCAGGGGTCGGCAAACTTTTGAGACGGAAGAGCCAATCCTGTCCCTCACAACAATTTAAAAATTACTCAAGAGCCGTAAAACACATGAAATCATCATTATGTGAAAAATATCCTTTACAAATTTTATACATGAAACTATGATAGTTTTATTTTCATTTTCAATTTGACTTCAGAGCCACATGTACGTATCCAAAAAGAGCCGCATGTGGCACGCCAGCCGCAGTGTGCTGACCCCTGGGCTAGACCCCTCTATCTCTTCCTTCCAGGCAGATTTAGCTCACTGCTGCTCTGCTGTGTGACCTCTCTTCCCACTACTATTAATACTTTCATAGAATTCTCAATGCTTCCACTTTGGGGACAGCTGTCCAACCTCCACCAAAGTTAGCCTCTGTCCTAGAGTTTCTCTTTGTCCGAATCTGTAAAATCTATGGTGTTTTCAACAGGGAAAGCACATAAAGGCATTCTCTGTTCCCACTCAGGGCTCTCTCTTACCGGCTGGTAATTGATGGCGGGATTCATATTGGGTGTTGTGGTGCGTACGAGGCCAGGCTTGGGCGGGCCCCGCTGACCCTGTAGCTGGGCTGGGTTTGGTGCAATAACACGCTGAGACATCAGCATGTGTGGGAGGGTGGTATTGGTCGCTGAACGAATAACACTGTGACCCTGAAGGGGAAGAAGAGGAAAAGAACTAGTCAAAAGTGGTAAATGCTCCCCAAAATGCTAAAGAGAAAGCACTGCCTATAATACACAGCTGAGTGGAAACACAGAAACAGCCAGACTTGGTAATTTTGTCTAACGACCTACGAGATAAATCTACCGCCACTGTAAACCCTGATTAATGGCTAGGAATTCCCTGGCTTTTTTTGGTATAAGCTATCTGACCCTATACGGAAAGGATTAATCTGGAAACATTCTCTAGATAAGAAAAGCTACAGTGGGAAGATGAGGGTTATTCATTTTTCCCTTGCAGACTGAATTATGCCATAAAGGACCAACAGGACTATCTGTAGTGATAACCCCTGTATCACAGCTGGGTTCTTTTAGAATCTTCACAAAAGCCCTAAAACAGAGAGAGGGTGAACAGGGCCCTTCGACACTAAGATCTCACTATGGGTCACATACCTGTAATGTTCTCAAATTCTGAGGTTCGACCCCTTGGGCCCCAGGCCGGGAGGAAAGCTTGGACAGGCCCTGCTGCCCCACGTGGGCAGGGGATGGCTGAACGATAGATGCTGCATTCTGTACAACTGGAGTCTGGGGGACAGACAGAAAATGAGACAGTGGAAAAAGCTAACAATAATCAGAGGTAGAAATCTGGTGTACTTCTAGACTTTCAAAATTCTTTGTCAGTGTGAGCACCTATTGACCAGAAGGAAAAACGAGAAAAACACAATCAAGGTTTTCTCGATTAAGGCCCAAGATTAAAAACTCCCTATTCCTAGACTTAAAACCCATGAAACGACAGAATAGTAAGCCGCCTAGCTGCACCTCCCTGGGTAGCCCCTTCTCCAGCCCGCTCTCTCTCCTCTCCCTCCCCGGCCCTTGCCGCCTCACCTTCTGGACCACGTTCTCCTTCTGCAGCTGACTCTGTCTCAGCTTCTTCAGCAGCACCAGGCGGGCTTCTTCCAGCCGCAGCTCGTCCCTCAGCTGCTTGATGAGCTGCTGCCGCTCCTCAATGCCCTTCCCCTATGGAAATATGGAGACTGTCAGCTACCGTAGCAGGTGCCCAGAGTCCCTTCCTGCAAGACGATGCCTTCTTTTAGGTCTGAAACTTTCATATTCCACAAGAAGCAGAAATGTCGATGGGGTTGTTGTCTTTGTGTCCTTGGGGTCTGGCACAGTGCCTGGTATTCAGTAGGCACAGTAAGTTCTCACTTAAGTCGTCAATTGTTCTTAGAAACTGTGACTTGACAGTATGTGAAATGACACATAATGAAGCCAATTTTGCCACAGGTTAATTGATATAAACGAGTTAAGTTCTTACGGCATATTTCTGGCTACAAACACATCACAAAACTTCTAAATAAATACCAAAACACTTCTAATATTAAATACTGAACTAAATGTGAGCTATATAGACATTTAAGAAAGATTAATAAAAACAAATAAGGTAATTATTTTCAACTGGGTTATTCCACTTCAGGGTTGTGAGTGGCTGGAGTCTCTCTCTGGACAGTGGGACCCACACACACTCAGGAGACAGTGTACACACGCCTATTAGCCTAACATGCGCATGTTTGGGACGTGGGAGGAAACTGGAGTCCCCAGAGAAAAACCACACAGACATGGGCAGGACAAGCAAACTCCACAGACACTGGCCCCGGCTGGGAACTGAATTTTTTTTCTTATTAACACTATGAGGAAATGAAGTTGAACAAAATGACCTTATTCAAGGACTTGCTGTACTCAAAAAATGCTTACAGAAAGGAGACCACACAAATGATAATCAACCAGATTCCTGGCAAAATATAAGAATGGCCAAAGAAAGACATTTCTTTCCTTTAAGATAATGTTTCTAAGTCTTTTTAAGCCATGCTCCCTCTAGGAATAGATGAAAATTTAGGAATCCCTCCATAATTCTGAGACCCAGGGGAGTGTCGAAGGCATCCTTCCAGCCGAGAGTTTACTTTATGTGACTTGAATTATGAAGTTTATTTTTCATTTTCCAAAGATATATTATATTGGATATGCTTTTCCAAACTATCTTCTGCACTTGAGTCTAACAGTTCCTCTGGAAGAGCATGCCCTTGAGCTTGAGTCATTAATAAAGTTTCATCAATGGGTAGTTATTTAGATCCAGAAAGTAAACCATAAAAAAAGACTGAGACTCTGACAGAATTAAAGAGAACAGGAGGAGCAAGAACAACCCCCCCCCGCCCCCCAAGACCTGTCTTTTTTTTCCTTTACCTTAAACATTTCCAGGTTGGCTGCTTTGAGTCTTTCTTCCATTCGGGAGCTGGAACGGGGGCTGGATGCTTCATTATCAGACAAAACAATGATGTCTGGGGATGGAGTTAGCCTTCCTCGATCTGGATCACTAGACAAGGAAAAAAAATTAAGTTATTTCCAACTGTGATGGTTCATAGAAAAGTTTTAAGAACTTCTTTTCTACACTAAACAAAGAAATCCAAGGGAACTTAGGTCTGTCCCGATTCACCCCAGGGAAGACAGAGCACACAAACCCTGGGATTAAGATGACACCACCAAGATGTGATAAAACCTCGGCAGAAGTACTTTTCCCGTCTAAACTCCTCACAGAGACAACAAAGACAAAGACACTGATGTTAGATGTGGAAATAAGAGATGAGCGCTCTTATCACACTGACTTACATAAAAATTCTAAGTGTTTTCCCTGCAGCTCCCTCCTTTGGGTTGGCTCATTAGTTCCAGAGGGGCTGCAGGAGAAAATGGCTGGCCTGACAGGGGAGGAAGGGCGCAGGCAGTAAGCCTCAGCTGTCCACCCTGGTGCAGTGACATGTTGCTAAGGAGGCAGCTCATTATACCAATAACATAGTCCCGGCTATCTGAGGACTTATAAGAAAGGAGGGCATACGACAACTCCAATGATAGTCTAACTTAGACAACGCCAATAGACGACCCAATGATAGTCTCTCTTGTTAAGAGTTAAGGCAAAAGAAGGTGCTGCTGTCACTGGCTGGAGGGAATGGATGGTGCCACGTATAATGTCTTCCGCCTCCTGGAGGGCGGAAACTCCTGGACTAAATATATGGAATCTGTACCTACTTGCCAGAGTTCTACTTAGCACCTTCCCTCAGAAACGGCCTAGAAATGACTTTGAAATCTACACCTTCCACACTGGTTTCCCAGAGCCTGTTTATTAAACAACTCTAAGATGACAAAAAATGGCACTCACTGCTTAAGGCCTGGATAACAAGAATCCGAGAAATTCTTACTGACTTAGGTTCCCAAATCAGTGATCATACCTTCTTCCTCTTCTCTCATTTTTTTATTTTTAATTAAAGTTTATTGGGGTGACAACAGTTAGTAAAGTTACATAGGTTTCAGGTGTACAGTTCTGTAATTCATCATCTGAGTATCATGTGTGTGTTCACCACACAGACTCCTCTAACTCCTTAACTCAAAGCTATCTTCCTCCCAGACCCTACTTCCGTGAAAGCTTCATTGTAGCTTGGAATATACAGGTCTAAAGCACTGTGTTCTTAGGTCTTATTTAAACATGTAGCTCAAACTCTTAACTCCCACAGATCTTCAGTCCTGAGAGCCTCTTTACCACTTCTCAGAGCTTCTTATCTCAGCTGCTGTTGGCACAGATGCCTTTTAAACAAGGCACACTGGATGGTTAGGATAGGCATTCAATTTATCAATAGGATAAAAGTGAGGTACGAAAATCAACCAAATTTAGCTGAGAAAATAGAATTAAGGGAATGGAATAATAAGAACGACTGTCCTGGAACTATTAAGTCCATCTGAATTTCTTCTATAACCACTGGTCACAGATACAGCAAGCTGAGAAGGCGGGGTTACAGAAAAAGAAGCCACTAGAGGGAGAAAAGAACCTTTTATTCTCTAACCCCAATTTCCTGGAGTAATGGTCAGGCCTAAATAAGTACCTGAATTCATTTTCTGGGTGACGTCATCATTTCTGTATTCCTTCACCCCCCCACCATCCCTAACAATGACATGGATGAACAATTTTGAGCTCTGGTCTTCTACTCCTTCTACTTGATTCCCTAATGTTTACATCAACAGTCAGAAGCTCCTTCCATTCGGTCCTGGCTGGATACATACATCAGATTACTTCTATGCTAAGGAATTCTTCCTTGCTCAAATGAGAGCCACCTACTGCTTAGGGAGTGCCCAGCAACAGGACAGGCAGAGCCATTCCTGAAGGGAGATTCTGGAGGGGCATTTATCTGGAATTGTAGCTGAGAACCCTAAATGATATTTCATTCCCAGATATAATCAGGCCCACATTAAATAGACAGCACAGGTAAGGCTAAGCCCAAGTCAAGTTTAATTCTTTTTTTTTTTTTTTAACTTTGACCTGGGATTCTGGCTTCATTTATCAAACCTTCTGGGGACAGAAATTGTTTTGCTACTTTCCCCAACATATATATAGAATTTACAATATTTGGTGTTCTTAAATATAAAACGCTACCTGTTAGAGAGGGATTATTAATTAAAAGCCGGACATGCTGCTGACATCACTTATGACTCAGACGGGCAGATTCCCAGAAGCTGTAAAATGCCTAATCCTTAACCCAGAAGTAAAAACAGAAAGAAAGATGCCATTTCTCTCTAGCATTCCAAAATATAAGCAGTATTGGTTTCATACAGACCTTATTTCATAGATATAACTTGCCCAAATGGGGGGGGGGGGGACAGTTGGGCATTGATATGGCTAGCATGTCAAAAGCTCTTCCTTTTTTCTGCTTTAAAACTCTTTCTTTTTATCCATATCAACTAAGCCACTGTTCTTCTTGCTGAGCGATCTATCAATCTTATGCATTCTTATAACAAGCTAGGGGCTAAGTGGAAATAGCTATCAGTGTGCCTGGTGACAGGGAAGAGGTGGCCCTATCATGGGCCACGAGGGCCTGTTTTTCCAAGGAGAATGGGGATCTAGGTGGCTCACAGAAAGCCTCTTTTCCTGGTGACCATTAAATACAACTCCCAGCTTCTAGAGGATGAACTTTCCAAAGTTCAGCCCTCTAAAATAACAGCAATGGTAGGGTTTTCAGGGTAGTCTGACTTTTTAACACAGAATTTATCTGTGACATTGTACAATTCCAACAGCACTAATGAGATCTTACCAAAATGTGTAACAGTGTTTCTATGAAAATGCATTTTCAGTTCCAATTTGGGACATGAGGACTCCACCTAACATTTTTCCTCCCCAATGAAACAGAATGAGTCACTCGCTCGCAAATGGAAAGGGTAATTCTGGGACAAGTGGGCTGTGCAGGTGCCTGATCTCATTCATCTACTCCCTTTTCCCCAAAGGACCTACGGATTCATCTACTTTCATAACATTCTACCGACACTACCTACGGCTTATAAGATTTTTTTCCTCTTCCAGGACCACTAGGGAATTATCTGAAATTTCCTAAGGGTTTTTAATGCTATACCAAAAATAATGTTCTCTCACTGGGTGTTTTTTAAAAAACAATAACCCTAGGACAATACTAGTAAGTAAACATTAAAAGGTGGATAAAGAAAGCCAGGTAACGTTATAACCATTCCTCCTTTCTTCTTTCTCCATCAGTCCACCTCCTTAAAGATCCTACTTTGAATCAGTTCTAGGACAAAGTCAGTTGGAGGGCAACTGGTAATTCTCATGCCTAACAGCTGTTTCTGAACCATAATAAACGGAATGTTGTTAAAACTAGGGTTTATCTATCCTGTGATTCACTGTCGAGATAGGTTCTACCCTCAGACAGTTCTAGGTACCTCTTCTTAGTGTGTGCTCCACAGTTTGAAGTGCTCGACTTTGACAAGACACCAGAAAAAAGACATGTGTGCTTGTGTTGTGTGTGAGAGCGAGAGCGCAAGCATGAGTGTATGAGGTGTGATCAAACAATACGGTGAATGTTTAAATTTAAAAAATTACTATAGTAAAAGACGCACTGCCATTAATCCCCCTCAAAATACTCACTCTTGCTTCGAACACACTTATCCCATCATTCTTGCCACTTTCTGAAGCAGTTCTGGGAGTCCTCTTTCGTGAGTGTCTTTAGTTGCGCTGCCATGGCTGCCTCGATGTCCTGAATCATTTTGACTTTGGGGCAGAGCCAATAGTCGCATGATGCCAGGTCTGGTGAATAAGGTGGATGAGGACACACCTCATCGTTTTTATTTGACAGAAATTGCTGTATACCAGAAGCGATGTGTGACACAGAGCGTTGTCATGATGGAGGATGATTGACGGCATACTTTAAAACACACCTTCTCTCAACTGTAGCTCACACCTGACTGCACCGAACAAGTTGAAACATGTTACACAGTGTATAAGGTTCTATGCACTGATTCTCATATTGAAGATCCCTGCCTTTCCGTTGGATGGCACTCGGCAGCAGCACTCACCGTATTTTGTGATCACAACAGAAAGGCTGTGTCACATATCACTTCTGGTATAAGGCAATTTCTGTCAAATAAAAAAATTACAGTGTGTCCTCATGCACCTTATTCACTGGAGCTGGCACCGTGCGACTTCTGGCTCTTCCCCAAAGTCAAAATGACCACAAAAGGTAAACATTTTGAATCGACTGAGGATATTGAGGCAGCCATGACAGCACAACTAAAGACACTCACGAAAGAGGACTCACAGAACTGCTTCAGAAAGGTGGCAAGAACGATGGGATGGGTGTATTTTGAGAAGGATTAATGGCAATGTGTCTTTCTGTAATAAACTTTAAAATTTAAACATTCACCGTATTGTTTCATCACACCTCGTATATGCACAAGGGAATGTGTATGCGTATGTGGGGGTTGGGGAAAGTGGCACAAATGAAGCAAGAATATATAGATTTACCACATGAAGATAATTTCCTTGTTGACAAAAGGAAAGCTGCGCCCATGTTTTTTGACATTATAATAAAAGCTAGGACTCCATAATAAATACATCCTTAAACTCCTGAGATGATCTGAAAAAAAGAATGTTTTTTCCTCCTAAAATGGCCCTAAGATTCCAGTGAAAATTGTATATTAACTCACTTTTAATTGGGGTATCAGCTCTACAGTGCCTCCTCTATCCAGAAACGACCACTTATCTTAAGGGTAGGAACTATGATTGTCTGTATGCTATGCCAATTTCTGAAGCACCTAGTTTCATTAGGAGATGAGAGGAATTCAGGGTTAAGCCAGATGGCACAGATATGTCTTCTTTCAAAAAACTTTAGGATGAAAGACACCCTCTCCTGGTATGTATTCCATTTTCCTAGGCTCAGTTTCTGAGCAGACCTCTCGCTGGAGGCAGCGGGGCCGAGCCCTACCTCCGTCTAGCACTCATGTCCACGGGCTCATCATTGATGTTTTCTTTGCCAGGCCGTCCAGCAGTCCTGCTGTCTCCATGAGGCCTCAGGTTCCCATTGAGCTTCTCTTCATAGCCCTTGACGCCACTGCCATCCTGTTTGGTGGGTAATTCATGCGGCACCTCAAGATTTGCCAAATCCTTCCGTTTGAGCAGTGCCAACATTTTCAGGCGTTCCATGGCCTCGTGACCCTCCATTTTCAGTCGCTTGGCCAGGACATCATCTCGCTCATCTGCTGGGTCCAGGCTCCGTTTCAACAGATTCAGGCGAAGAGCGTCTTCTGTCATTCTATCCATCCTACGGAAAGAAAACTACGAATCAGATCAGAATAAAGTTCCTTCCATAGTTCATAAAGAAAGAGCGCAGGTGGTAAAGGTATTAAGAATCATAGATATATACAAGGAAGTTCAAAGTTAACTCAGCTGCTAACTTTCTACCCTATATCTTCCCAGAAGCTAAAGAAACTACAAATACTGTCTAGTCATTGAGGTCTTTACTGTATAGATTCCTGAAACCAAACACACCACACTCACTCGGATGATCCATTCAGAGCCTACATCTCTCAAAAAAGAAACCTTCTTCTGTGACTGGCTTTTTGTGCATGCATGCTCAAAGTCAGATGCTTTGGCTGTACTCTCAGATCAAATTTGTCTCCTAAAAAAGACTCTTAGGAATGGTAAGTTCCTCAGGTCACGCACACTATCGTAAACTGGCCCATCTTGTGAATGGAGAAATGTGAGAAAGATGATTAGACAAAGGGCACCTAACAGGAGGCCTCAGTTGTCTGGATACAGCAAGGACCAGAGGGGCCCACTGTTGTTTGACCTCAATTCTATACAGATGCAGATTTAACATCATAAGATACTTGGCTTTGCTTAATGAAGAACTCAGGTGCTTTTAGGCTGATGAGGTAATATTCACTCATGCAGCAAAATTATTAAAGGCAAGCTAATTATCATTTTCCCTTCTCACTTTGTTTTTTTACACTAACAAAATCTAAATGCAGAATGTCTCCAACACTTTTATATCCAGGGCTGTTTTCCTGGTAGGAAATAGCAATGAGGCAGTGGAAAGAAAAATTTTTGAGTCATAGAAACATAGGTTGTAACTGCTACTTACTTTTACAAGGACAAACATTTAATAAGTTACTTTACCTCCCCAAGTCTCAATTTCACCTGTAAAAATGGATGTTTAGAAAGTGGTACGCATATTTTGCCACAATAAATTTTTTTTTAAATCCAGTGTAACAGAGACTGATTAAAAACAATACAAGCGATCTTTTTGGGGTGATGGAAATGTTCTAAAACTGGGTTGTGGTGATAGCTGCACAACTCTGTAAATTTACTAAAAAAATAAAATCATTGAGTCATACACTTAAGTTATACTCCAGTAAAGCTGTAAAAATAATATTCAATGTAAACTTGTCACACAAAAATTCCTCTGCAAGAAGCAAAGCAAAAATTCTGTAAAATGAATGTTGTATGTTGTCTTTCAAAGCCTAGCCAACCTTTTTTGTTTCTTCTGGGCTACTAGTGGCAACAGCTAATATTTCTGAAGTAGCTACTTAAAAGCCAAACATGCTACTAGGCACTTTATCATGTGTTCTTATTTAAATTCTCCTCAACAAATTACTAAGAGGTATTGTCCCTGCTTTACAGGTGGGAAAAAGTGTCATATCGACTATTCCAAGACTGCAAAGCTTTAGATAGTGAATCTGGAATTCCAACGCTGGTCTCTAGCTCACTTCAAAAATTTACTATACAGTACATCTCCCTGCTCAAAGTGAGGTAATCTTAGGGAGCAGTGTTGTATAGTTCCATGTTTACACATCCAACCATCCCTGCATTCCCCCCAACCCCAAATATTAAGTACACACTATATGCCAAGTTCAGGGTTAGGTGCTAGGAATAAAGGTGAGAAGAAAAAAAAAAGACTAGGTCACTGCCTTTAAACAATTTCATTCAGATAGAAGACAGATGTATATGCATATAACTACATATTTGGAAGTTCACACAACTAATTTTCTCTGCCTTCCTATCCTGCTTTTCTCCCTCATATTTCAGTGAAGAGACTTCAACTCATCCAGAGGCAAAAGCTAAAGCCTGCAGAGCATCCTTGACTTTTCCTGACTCTTAAACCTAAGTCACCAAGTCCAAACAATTCTATTCTCTTCCTCTGAGTGTGAAGGAGAGACTAGTGGCATGTTGCTGCTGGCAGCCACCTTGTGAGCACAAGGAAGGCAGCGGCTGCAGCAGAGCACTGAGGTGGGAGCTAATTACACAGCTGTGCCACCTGAAAGCTCGTCTCTGGGTTCTGGTTACATAGGCCAATAAATTCCCTTAATTTAAGTCAGTGCGAGCTGGGTATTCTGCTCCCTAAACTGAAAATATCCTAACAGAAAACTGTTAGAAGTGCCAGTGTGAAATCTAGGTGAATCTGTCCAACAGAAAGGTGGATACATGGCACACAGGCAACAGAGCCCGAGCTCAGGCCAGAAATGGAGATAAATATTTGAACACAAAAAGGAGGTAATTCAAGTAATACATGAGGATGAGTGAAACAACCCAGAAAAAGATGAACATACAGTCAGAAGGGAAAGGGCCAAAGAGAGAACCTTGGGAATACCTCCATTTCAGGGCTGGCTGGTCAGAGAGCTAGGGAAAAACTAGGAAAGCATTACATGTTAACACATTAAAGCAGAGTTTCAAGAAGAGAGTAATTGTGTCTCAAATTACAGCAAAAACATGCCCAGCTTTAAATGTACTGTTGACTGTTGTAAAAGACAAGAATGGCCAGATGGGAGCGCAGATCTAGACCCATGCCTGTCAGATTTTCAACTCTGTTACCCCCCCAAACCAAAATCCAAGTCTGCAGAAAGACTCAGGGGATCATGAGGGAAGAGAGTAGAGGGAGAGAGGATGAGCAAAACGAATTACCATCTACTGAGCTCCTGCTATGTACTGAGCAATGTACAAGGTCCTTTACATTTGCCCTCATTTAATCACATCGGAGGAATAACAGACATTTAAATTGTCAACGAAGATAAAAAACCTCCAATTCTGGGCCAGCTGAGTGGCCCGTTGGTTAAGAGTTGGCTTGGGACACCGGCTCTGAGCAGCAGGGCCCTGGTTCGGATCCCACATTAAGGCCAGTGAAGCTGCGCCCTCTACAGCTAAGATGGTGAACAACAGCTCAACCTGGAGCCGGGCTGCTGTGAGTCGCCCACGACAGCGAAGGCTGCAGCAGGGCTGGTCAGCAGCCGGCGTGCAACTGCCTCACCCGGGAAGAGCACAATGATAATACCAACATGGGCCAGTGAAGCAATGTCCTCCACAACTAGACTGAAGAACTGAAGAACAGCAACTTGTCTGTTCCCTTTCCCCGATTCCCCAATGCTGTTCCCCTCCCCCAATTCCCCAATAAAATCTTAAAACAAAACAAAAAACCTCCAATTCTCAAAAATGACAAAATGTGAGCCTATAATAAAACATGACTTTAAAGGTTTAAAGTAGCAATAGTCTAACAGACCATGTTACTTCATGAGTTCTCAAGTTTGTGCTGAACAAGACAAAGAAGTCCTTACAAAGCAAAACAGATTTTCTTTAACACATAAAAAATAAGTTTTAAAAAAGTATTTTGGTTTCAAAATACTAAGTAGCAATGAAAAGTACTTTCTTTAAAAAAATATACCTTTCGGGCCGGCCGAGTGGCGCGATGGTTAAGAACTGGCTTGGGACGCCAGAGGCCCCGGTTCGGATCCCACATATGAGGGCCAGTGACACTGCCCTCTGCAGCTAAGATGCTGAACAACAGCTCAACCTGGAGCTGGGCT